CCGTATTTATCGCAATAGGAGGTGCATTGGTGATACCATCTATAGGGAATTCACCACAAAGTTGCTCAATTTCCCATCCAAGAAACAATATCTTGAACACATTTTTGTTATATTCTCAATATGAATATATAATAGTTAATAACTCATGATGTTAACTAGAAAAGCCTGATTGATAATTTAATCACCGCTTGAATGAAATGACTTTTGCAGATCCGTTTCCTTGTTGCAAACATTATCCTGTAGTGTTTCTTGTTATTTCTTAGAGGAATCACTCCATATCGTGCTAGACAGGAAAGCAGTATAATAGCTGATACCTTTCTTGAAGGTATTGGGGCAAAATTATTTCGTTGTTGTTCATTGTCGCATAGGACACATTTCATTTGGACCTGAAAACCCTTAATGCATTCAATTCATATGGTCCCAACATTCAAAAAGAAGATAGTTGATGCAAGAAGGCAAGAAAAATTATGAATCGCGCCTTGAACGATATAGCAAAGGCGCGCAAGTATAGCTCACTCTGAATGAGAGTTCTCTTATAGGGAGGCCTATGCAGGTGGGAGGTTTAACGTGAGAGGGGAGCAGGAAGAATATAAGGCAAAAGAAAGGGCATAGTATCGAGGATTGGTGATATAGAGAGACAAAGATGAACTCAAATTTACACTGTTTACAAAATCTCCACTCCTTATGTCATATGAGGTTTGATAAAATGCATTGGCTTACGCAGTTGTTCAAATCTCGATATTTCCTATTTCCCTTTTTTCAAAATTGATGAGGGAGAAAATTGTTATAAATATAAGTAGTAAAATGTATAGAAAAAGCAAACAAAATAAATTATGAATCATTCAATGAATGAAAAATGAGTTGAATTGGAGTGAATTACGTAGTTGGCAATATGACTCGATTATTAGCCAGTAGATAAAAACCGCAAGAACTACCACAAGTTCAAAAACTTGAAATCAAACAGAACTGACCTTCAAGTAGGATTTGTAAAATACTAATTTATAAGAGCTTACAGTTGACAGTCTAGCAAAATACTTTCAAATGTTAACAATAAAAGACGGTAAAAAAGGCAAGTCAAACCTCTTCTCCTAGCGACACGGCTACTGGGCTTTGAGCTTTTTGCATATTCCATTGGAAAACTCGTGTTAGGGTTTTCGATGCGTTTTCAGTTAGTTTTGTTAATTTTTCAACCATAACTTGTTTGCCGGCGTCGGAAAGTTCATCTGCAAGTAAATTCAATTTAAGATACGATAAAGATTTAACAAAATCTTAAAAAAGAAACGTTTTTATTTTAGGAAAATGGTGGAGCACTGGTGTTCAGCAGCGCGGTCGCGCGAGCGCTAATATTGAT